CAGCCCAACAGCTGCGAGGAGACCCACCAGGCGGAAGCCTGGGCGTGAAGAGGGGACAACAGTTGGCGAGGGCTCCCCCCCCCGAAGGTGCGTTGTTTGGGGGCCCGGAGCCCGGGCCGCGATGTCGCCCCTACCTGAGTCAAGACGTGCTCTCCACACAGTCGCCTCCACCCCGCGCCCTAGCAACGCTCCCTTCCGGCGCCTGACGTTATGGGTGGGGCCCACTTCCGGTGACGTAGGCCTCCGCTCTGGCTGGGGCTGCGGTGCTGCCATTGCGTTCCTTGGTGCGCCCTCCTCTGGCCCTTCGCTCCCGGTCTGCAAATCAGCCCCTCCCTTCAGGTCCGTCCTGTTGGGCCGGGGAGGATGGCGGCCTTGCGTGGGTGGGACGCGCTCCTTCCCCGGCTTTGCGGTGCCATCTTAGGGAAGAGAATGAGGCCTTAGAAATGGGCCTTCCAGGAGGGAATGGGGCCCGTGAGAAGTGGGGTGCTGGTTGGAAAGAAGCCCTGTTTATGGACATTGTCCAGATAGAAAGGTAATTGAGATTTTGAGGGGCAAAATGAGGAACATTGTAAAGCCGATAAGCAGGCAGACCAGCCAAAAAACCCCAGTCACCAAGGACAGGAATCTAATGGTTTTGTTTGGCACAAGTTGCAGAACCTCAAAAGTCAGTAATAGTACCCGAGAATGCTTGGTAGGACGATGCCCTCCTAGTCCCATTAAAGGGAGTTTCAGAGTTGAAGAGAGAGCGCTGGCTGGTTTGGCTCAGTGGGTAGAGCATCACCCCGCAGACTGAAGGGTCCCGGTTCATTCCCAGTCCGGGCTCATGCCTGGGCTGCCGCTGGATCCCCAGCAGGGGGCCTGCAGGAGGCAGCTAATCTCTCTCATCATTGATGTTTCTATCTCTTCCTCTCTGAAATTAGTAAAAATATATTTAAGAAAAAAAATTGGAGAGGTAAAGAGGGTCAAAAAGTTATAACTTGATAGTGAGAATCCAAGCATTTATATTCTGAGCCTTTGTTCTGGAATCTGATACAAAAAAAGTGTAAAAAGTTCTTGTCCCCAAGGTGGTTAGGCAAACAGGCCCCAAAGTGGGTGAATGTTTAAATGCAAGTACAACAGGTGCCAAGAAGTGGCCGAGACTATAAGTTCATATTAGGAAGAAATCAGTGGGGCCTAACGTGACCAGGGAAGGCTTTATGGCAGTGGTTCTCAACCTTGTCCACACATTAGAATCACCTGGGAATCTTTTTAAAATCCTGATTTCTGGGCCTCATCCTCCGGAAATTCTGTTTCTTTGTTACTAATGTTGTGGCCCCACCCCATAACAAAGAAACAGAATTTCCGGAATGTGCAGCCAAGATTGAGAACCACTGCTTTATGGAGAAAAGGGACTTGTGGCCTTTGAAGATTAGAAAAAAAAGGGACGTGTTGACATTGCAGGTAGATCTGGTGATGCTATTTTGCAAAACCAAGAAGTAGAAGTGTGATATGACAAAAATTTGTGTATGGTCTGCGGTGTAGGTGGCAGTCTGGGAGATCAGTTTGAATGCTGAAGTATTGTATTTTTGGAACCTTTACCTGGTTTATAGAGCTTAAATGTGACTTAGGAGAATCTGTCCTGACAGCAAGGAACTGAATATGGTCAGTGAAAAGGATCATGGAAGGGAGGCGTTTTATTTTTACATGAATAATTTGTAAACAAATGATGAGTTTGTGTTTTTTTAAAAATTATCAGCCCTTGGGCTGAAGAGAGTGTGCTCTACAGCCTTTGCTTCATATTAAGATCCTAAAAAGAAATGTGTTAGTGGAAGTTGGGCCCAAGCCATTCTTGTCAGCAGATGATTCTTAATCTTGTCTGTGCATTAGAATCTGGGGAGCTTTTAAGACATAGTATTCCAGTTTCCCATCCTGGACCAAGTAATCAGAAAGGGCTGGGCATAGCTATTTTTAAAAGGCTGCCCAGATTATTTCAGTGTGCAGTTAGTGCTGAAAACCACTGACTTCGGCACTGCTTTGAATTTACAAAAGCTATTCTGTCACCTGGGTGCCCCGGGTGATTTCTATGAAGGAGAAGCAAGCTGTTAAAGTGCTTCTTAAAACATAATTGCTAAGAGTAAAAGCTTCATTTCAGCCTCAGCACAAAGCATTTTAGAAAAAGCTGCTGTTTTGGCAACTCAGTTTTAGATTGTTAGGAATATCTTAAAGTATTCTTTATGAAATCCTCAACCTCTGAATTTATCTCAACATCATTCATGCAGATTGGTGGGGCCAGTGTGATTTGAAGTGAAATGTGATTTTTTTTTAAGGCTTTAAATTGCAGTAATCTGGTGAAAGTGTTGACACTGTTACTGTGACTCATAAGTACTTCTCATTCAGACACCAGCAGATCGAAATTTCTGAGGAAGAAAGAGCTAAGGGTTTGAGAGGATGGC